AAAAATGATTCAATTCCGTCGAACGCGGTGCCAAAATCACATATCACTCAAGCAGTGGCATCGAAGAGGGCATTGTGAAGGAATCGGCCACGTTTTTGTTTTGGTTCGCACGATGTGCGTTGAAATGTATGATGGAATGCGCACAGCTGAAGCCCATGTTGAGGTGTAATAAATTATCATTTCGTCCAATTCAATCATTTATGAATTTATTTATTCATTGTTTGCCTCAGGAAATGTGAAATGCACCGGTTTAACGACATACAAGCACACAGTTGCTGACGGTGTTTCTAATACTCTTGTTCTTCTTCTTTTAGTTGTTGTTATGTGTTCACTGTGCGTACGCACACAATCCGATGTGAAGCATCAAGAATGGCTAATAAATAATAAAGTCGAAAAAGATGCATTTAGATATTCATTTGGTGGTTTAGATGATTATCTCTCTTGTGGGCAATTCTTCATACAAAAGAAAAGCCATTCAACATTTTTCATTTTGGGAATAATAATTAAAGAATATTTTCTTTTGTGTCTGAATTTCATTAGATAGAATGAGCATTTGTTTTGGGCCATCGACTAAATTGTTCGATGTGAACTGTTGTGTGGATTTTTGGTGTGGTTGGTCTCTGTTTGTTTGAATGCTCATCAAATTAGCTATGGCTAATTATTATGATCATATTATTGTTTGAGAACTCGACCGTTGTTCGCATCACATCGAAAACGTTGCAAACACACAAACACATACACGGGTGCACGGTGTTGCCTCCGCGCTCGTCCAACCAAATTAGAGTTGCTAGAAACCTGAAATTATGTATTTTTCATGTGCGTTTTGCATTTCATGCCCAGGAAACTAGTAATTGTAAAAGCTTTAAGCTACCGCAGCTAATGCTGTAATTTCATTTAATGCGCTTGAACTTTTCCATTTTGCCATTGTGTATCAATGTGTGTTGATTCCGAAGCCGTTTCGCATTTTAGTCATTTGATTTACATCGAACCCGGCAATCAACGTCCACACGTTACGGAATGCTATACACATATATTGCAATACGATTGAGATAAATGGTGTTTTGTACAGTGTTTGTGTAAGTTCGATCTGACTCTCGGCAATGGAACAGTAAAACAAAGGCGTTTTCGGCATCGCTCTCGATACACATGCATATATATTTCTACCTGTCGACACAAAACAACAGAAAAAAAAACAACAACAAACCGTCCGTCAGCAAACGATCAACGCAACATTCAAAAATAAATAATAATGAAATATTTACGCGCGGCGGCGGCGATATCGGGCAAAAATCATACTCATAGATATCCTATAAGTTTGCAGAGAGCGTGTACGTGCTGATGGTTGCGTTTTATTGTGTATGAGCCCTGGCCAATATGCAGTAAATAATGTTTTTTTTTGCCTCTCACTCTCTTCGCTTCGCCTCTTCTCTTGGCCCACGTCGACTCATTCTGTAGTTCGCGCTTGGGCGATGTTTGTTCGCTCACAAGAACCGCACTCAAGACACAAATCGACTACTATATCATTACAGGTGTTCATGCGAAAGAATTATGAAATGTAATAATGGCTGTCGGATACGAAAATTCTTTGGCGTATATCGATGTTGCCTCTCATGCGATTATGCCATAAGATACACAAAAGCAGCAGCAGCAGCAGAAATGCTTATACACTGTGTGTACCTTTCGTAGTTTTGCCCGTAACACAATACTCATGGCTCTTTCATTTCGTTCGCTCGTTTATTGCAGATCTTTTTTTTTTGAATTTTTCACTTTTCTTTTCCCATTTTTGTGATATCTGACTTAATTCTGCCTGGCATCGTCGGTTTAACCGTATCTGATCAGGCACGTCAATGCACTCAACATAAAAAGCGAGCGAGCGCGAGCGCAATAAAAACTGTTTGTGTGCAGAAAAGCCATTTCGTCTAGTGCCATTCAATCGAAATTGTGTCTTACATTCCACATTTTGTGTGTGTGTTGTTCCAAATCTAATTATCGGCCTCAGCTATTGGTTTCACGTCATTATCATTGGCTTTTGTTCCAGCACATCATTTCGATGCGCATTTCATTCGACTGACTTCTGTCCGACTCAATTTGAAATACAACGAAAACGAAACAGTGTACCGTAGAACATATTCGCCATGGCACATATGAATTGCCCATTTTATTCGCGCTCACGCTCGCGCTCACGCTCACGCTCACGTAGAATTACACATTTCGACATGGTGCGGAGAATTTTTTCACGCCTTGTAATGGCATTTTGCCACAGTTTTGCATTTTGCACGGAGAAAAACGTACATGCACTTTTGCCAGTGGACGTGAGGTCATAATCGTTTAATTTAAATCGTTGTAGCATATTTAAAGCCATCATCGCTACCATCAAATACTAGAACACAAGACCATCGACTACTAGATTGAGAAGTGACGAACCAGAGCGCGCACAGCACACACACACATAATTCTCGAACGAAGACTCATTTTGCAAAGAAGGATTTGCGCGCGCTTGCCGTACACAACGCGTGAAGAAAATTGCACGATAAACCAAATAACGGAAACGAAAATTGATCGCGTGAAGTGCGAAAATTATGGTATAACAAACGTCAGATGAGCAGCAGAATGTGCTGAGTGTAATGCGATGCGACATTAGAAAACAAAACGATTTAATGCGCTCTAGCAAAACTATACACAGCACACACACACTCGCACACACTCAACGAAGAAATTCAATTAAAAACCCGTTCGTATTCGAACTATCGCATCACTTTTCATTTTCTCTCTTTTCATTTTGATCCGTTCAACTACTACTACTGCTTCACTTGCAGATTATTGAAAGTTATTGTGGAAAAGAACGGGACGATGTAAGGCTCTTTCGTTGGAAAAGAAAAGAAGACGGACTAAGTGATAGAGTGAGAAAAAAATACTCTCTTTGTAGAGGAGATAAAAAAAAGTGAGCAAAATGTATGGAATAGCGGCAGAGAGACAGTGAGTTGTCGGAAAAAGTTTATTAGCGTTTGCGAGAGATGGAAACGTAATCACAAAACATTTATGGAAAAAGTTTCAAGTCATGCACTTACCGCGAACGAGCGAGCTAACGAAATGGCATACCAGTTGTGTGGAAGGCGGTGCACAGAGTGACAAATCCAATTTGGTGAATAAGTTCTTTTTTTTCGGGCTCGAATGCGCGTTGCACACGCATACAATAGGCAAAATTCCGAAGCAGAGACACCGAGAGCAACTCATTCGCAAGTGTGTGCCATAATTTAAAATAATAATCTGACAAATTCATCTCGGAAATTACACTTTTTTCTGTTCCCGACGTTCGTTCTGTTTTGGGACGATTCGCGACAAAGTATTTTGTGCGCCCAGCAAAACTGCCACTTCGGGCGGAATTTTATAGCACACGCGAGAAAGAGTGAGGAAATTTAAAGCGATAAATTAAAATAAATTTCGCACATAGAACGAAAGTTCTTACTTAATTTGTATTGTCTGCAATTGCTAACGATAAGAAAACACGTAGCCGAACATTTATGCGTCTGCATTCCAAAGAGATTGAGCGGGTGAGTGTGTGCAAAGCAAGCACTTTACAAAGTTGTCGCTGCATTTAAGTAACTCCAGGTCGTAGACACCCAACAGTCAAGGGGAATAAATGAAATTTTCAAGTTTTCTATACGGCCAAAGCAGAGCAAAAGTTTTCGCATTCAGTGTGTGTGCATTGAATAACATGTAATTTCCCACATAATTTTCGCTCTGTAACCGTCGCCTCTGTGACTATCGGCACTCATGCACAAAACGACTTCTTTCGGGATTCAATGCCAATGCCAATACTTGAATTTCCTCATTCTGTGCCTGCATTTTGAGCAATCAATAACAAAAGTTACCATAACACTTCGACAATGGACAATGTCTTCGGAAATGCTAATCGAAAATAACGGAAATAGCGAGACATCAGCATGAATGCTGAACAAGAGACAAAAAGGTTTGGAAGCGGAGTTTTTCGAGTCATTAAGCGTATTTAATGTCAAATACAAAGTTCAAATGCAAAATACATGGAAATGCGAATGTAAAGTTTGTGATTGCCGCTTTGGCTGTATGTGGATTTGAATGTGAAGCAGCAGCGAAAATGGATTGGAACGGAAAGGAAAGGAAACGAAAATCAATATTTCTCTTCTGTTTCCCGCAGTTTGGATCATTTGTCTTTTGCATCGCACCAAACTGCAATATTCATCAAAAACCCATACACACTCTCTCACATACATACAAACACACACACACACAGTCGCATTCGCGCCACACTTCTCGCTCGTTTGAATGAAAAATGAGCTCTGCTCTTCTCAAATCGCATCGCAGCAGCAACAACTTTGTGCTGCAATGGAAATGACTACGAGCTTTGCCAAACATCATGGCACTTCGAAAAAAGAGGAGAGAGAAAAAGAAGCAAGCGAACCGAACCCTTGAGAAATCTCACATGGAATAATGAATAATGCTCCTTTTACATACGAAATCACCATGCTGATGAATTTTCCACTCTCGCATTTCGTCTATCGATTCTTGTCGGTGTCGTAGACTTTTCGACAGTGAGAGCGAGAGATTTCCGTTCGTCGACACCTTTTGTAAGCTTCAACGACATCAATGTATGTTCCACATGCTGCGAAAAATATGCATGTGCCACATCAATCGAGACAACACAGTGGATAAATGTACGAAATTCTCGGTAGAAAAAAACACGAGCAAAGGAGACAAAGTCCAAGTTCGACAGCATGCAATATGATAGGATTTTTAATATGTAAATGGAATGGAATGGCATTCTCAGTATTTCTCGCAATCAAGGCGATGGCATCAATTTTACATAAAACGAACACATTTTTGGCATTCATTTTACCATGATCCATGTTTGCCCTTTAGTCTGTGAATTTCTGCTATTTTATTATAGTTTTTCTTTACTTGAATGTGCAAATAAAAAAAACATTACTTATAAATGATTTTTCGTTTTTTTTTTCTCTTTACAGTGTTGGGATGAGTGTACATCATCGACGAGCATAAACAAATCCATTTTGGATACTTGGTCGTTATCGGTGCAGTCGATGGTGCGTGACAATTCGTTGGTATCAACAAATATCGCATGGACGGCAACCAATTCACCAAGCGACTGTTTGGTCACATGGGAAGTGTCTGGCGGTGGTCTGATTGGTAATCTATTGACTCAATCATCAAATGTAGAGCTGTCATTGTGGCCCGAGACAAAGTATCGCGTTCAAGTCACTTGTAAGAATAAGGTGAGTGATCGAAGAATCGACAATTCTCTTTTCTTTATCGTTCATTATTATTATTATAGTTTTCCGTTCACAAAGCCAATTCTGTGACGTTGCGCTCGATTAAACGAAAGATCGCCGGAACCGATACAGAAAATGCTAAAATAGCGATTTACACTTGAAAACACATAAGAGTTGTTAAGTAAAATCAAGAGCGAATACTTTGTACCTAGATCTGTATATATATTGTATAACAATTGAGCTCATTCTCTTAAACAACACTGCCAATGTTTCACACAGAACAGTTATAGTTGGATGTGTAATGCGCTAAGAAAACTTATTTTCCAGTTGACTTAATCACAACAACAGTAACGTTAACGCTATTCTCTTAAGACTTATTTATTCGGTCTACAGCAAAATCATTTATTTCTCTTTTTCTCGTTCTTTTTTTTTTGCGTGCGCGTCTGTCTCGTGCAAAAATAGCAATCGGAGGAAATCAGTCGTTCGCTGCCATTAACACTTGACACAAACAAAGCCGTTGTGATGGTGCGTGTACCGACTGCTTCAACATCTATATTAACTGACAGCGATGACACTGTGAGTCAACAACAAGATCAATCCATAATATTGCGCGATAGTAGCAATCATGGCAACGGAATTACCAGCACCAGTCAATTCAGCGATAACGAAACAAATGATAATGATGATGATGACGATGCGAACAACAACAACAACAACATTGACAACGACAGCCAGAAATTCTACCAGCAAATCCATTTCGATGAAACATCATTCGAGTCAACATTGGCACAATCGTCGCTGTTAGTCTGGGCCACTTATGAAAATCACCGTGAATTTTTGCTCGGTGCATGCGCTGCGATGGGCGTTTTTTTGACGGTAATTTTTGTATTTTTGTTAAATCGACGAAAATCAAGGGCAAACACTGATAAAGCACCATTAGTTGATAATGAAGTCAGCGTCAATGTCGACGTTGATCGGCTAACCATTCACGTTTAAGTAAAAAAAATAAACAAAGTTCATATATAGACACTAGAAGCTACCATACTTTGAATCCACAATAAGAAATAAAGAAAAATGAAAGACGAAATGCAAAAACGAATGGAGGTAACACCATTTGTTTTCATTTCATTTGTGAATTGTTTTCAAACGTTTTAAGATTAGTAGTAATTTCGAGTACAAACATGCGAACTGCATGCTGGTGACTCGTCTTCGGTGTTGTCGCTTTCGATGAGGCCACCCTTAAAATGGCCAATTCAAGTAGAGAACATTGCTCTCATCATGATTGCGTCTTTGCACCGAAAAATGATTATCATTCGACTCCCAATGGAGACGATGATGACAGTCAATTCCGTTGTGCACACCAACGAAGTTTGTACACCACGTGCTATGCCCATTCGAAATGCAAACGTAACAACAACACATTTTATTGAAAGAAAAAAAACGTGAAAAATAAACACAAAACAAAACACTTGTAATTTATCGAATGAAAACTTGCGAAAACGTTCCTATCAAACTGTAAATAGTAACTTTTTATTATTATGAAATATTTAATGTGAGAGAAAGAAATCGAAGTAAGAAAGATAGAATGGACAAAAATAACCAGTTTCGAAAATGAAGATAAAACATTAAATTATAGCTCATCATAACAATTTTTTCTAGATAAAACTTAGGTTCATTTTGACAAGCTACAAGTTTTAATGGAATGTACCCAAAAGCATAAAATACATGTAATCAAGAGAAAAACGAGTACCACTTCGTTTTAATTTTTATTTTCTATGCATAAATGCAAACAAACAGTATATATAGTAAAAGTATTTTAAAATTATTAACAAAAAATGAATAATTGTAAAATTTCCTCTGTTTTTTTCTGCTTTTGTGTACAAAACAACAAATTTGATATTTATCGATAAGAACATGAAAAAAATATAATTATTACTCAAAATATTCTAAACGAATGAATAAAAAAAACCATTATTGAAGGATTTCCGCAGAGAGTAATCCGCTGATTAAATTATCTATCTAATCAAGTAGATGAGGCAAATGTTTCAATATGAAAAAGTCATCGAAACATCTCTGAGAAGCTCGCTGGCCGAATTCGACAGAGACTCTGTATATGGCCTCACAAAACTGCTTTCTTTTTCGTTCGGCCATCTCTCTCTTGAGTCGAAGCTGGAATTCGGGCACCGAATTTTCGGCAATGTTTCATTGAAATTGAACCATTTGCCGCCGCGTATCGCGTATTTTGATGAACATATATAAGAACATTTTGAAGCAAAAACAAACAAATACACACACGTCAAGAGTGAGATTAGACACAACTAATATCCAATTTATTGGCGAATGACAAAATAACACAATTTTCGCCTTCATCATTCACACCCAAAACAAACACAATTCGCAAAACAGAAACAGTTTTAACAACAGAAAACATATATACGAAGAAAGAATGAAAAAAACCTAAATAAAATATCGTGTACATTGAAAAAATCTAACAATAGAATGAAGCTCGATTTCATTGTGATCAAACTAAAACTTTTCCTATAACTCATATACAAAACACATTCAATCGTAATTACATAGATGTCTAAACAAATGCTAATAAAGTAAATGAACAATTTAAAGGATTATTAAATGAAATTGATTGAAACAACAAGAAAAAAAAGCGTCAGTAACTCCTAACAATAGTAACAAAAATAGGCCATTTACACACAGAAAACATTTATTTTTTATTGGATATCGCTTGAAATACATACAATTCGCTTGCAGCTCAACTCACTTCAACTTTATATTCCATCCAACAAACTATATACATTACAAGGATTGTTTTCCGTTAATATAATCACACTCTTTGTTTCATTTTTATCATCAAATTTCTGGCCCATTTGTTCGTCGTATAGATATTTTGTAGAATACATGCAAAATTCAAAGCTTAAAAAAACACATTCTTTTCAACACTTCTTCTAATTAAAACAAAAACATAGAGACTAAATGTACATAGAGAAAATATTTTTATGTGGTTTTTTTTTCAACGCAACTCGATGAACAAATTGAAGAAAAAAAACCGTTTTTTTCTACAAAGAAATTACAAATTGCTTTCGGTCTCACATCCGAATGTAAAATAGCTCTAGTTACATGAAAACGAAGCACACAAAAACAAGATCGAAAAGCAAATTAGTTCCATGTTCTTGCTCTTTTGTGCTACATTTCCCAAAGAATATCTGGAACAATTGCAGTTGAAAAACAAAGAATTGCGCGCGTCTGACGAGAGAAAAAAAACAACGACCCAACCAATTCGGTATTGGATGGAAAGTCTTGTTTCAAATCTTCTTTATGATTCAATGGATTATGTAGAGCATGAAATACTGTGCATACAGAATCATTTCTGAATGGTCGAATAAAAAGGAATTACAGAGAAATAGAGAGAAAAAACGGCACCAATTCGCATTGTTATCAATGAAACAGACATTCCATTTGGCTGCATATTGAGCTTAGCTATTTTCAAATAGCTGGCTGTTTGGTTCATTTTGATTTTGTGACGAGTGAGCCATGCAAATTCAGTGGAATGTTGAATTTATGACACAAAAAATTCGTGAAAAGGATTGAAAAAGGTGTCACAAATTCAATATTCTACATGAATTTGAATGGCTCGCTCGTCACAAAATCAAAATGTACCAAACAGCCAGCTATTTGAAAATAGTTCAGCTCAATATGCAGCCAAACGGAATGTCTGCAATGAAATTCTCTGATGTTTTTTCCCTGTTTTTTCATCATCGACATACAAATTTGCGGAACTGAAATTACACCGACTGTTCCAGCAGAAGTGACACAGTTTAATGAATAAAGCGCTTGCGATTATGGTCCGTTTCAATGGATGCTGCGCAGTGAGAAAGATACGAATTTGCATTGCATTGTTTCTTCTGCAGAAGAATGTGGCGAAACAATGCTTTCGAATGCGGAATTTTGCAATTTTGTCAGAAAATCTTCCTTGATCCGCCCGGCTGAAATGCTAATTAAACTACCAAACAAAATGGAACTAGAGCATAAATCCTATGATATTGTTACAAGATCGTCGGAACAATATGTCTGTAACCGAATTCTGTTCAGAGCTCAAGATACCTAACGAAGCATATAATGAAGTCGCTTTTTTACTCTTTTGAGAATAAAAAGAAGAGAAAAGAAAATGATGTCAAAGTCATAAATTTCTTGGAAATTTGTTCATCGTTTCACGTTGACAGAGCACAATCACGGTTTTTATTCCGCTCATAAACAGAGAAAATAGATAAAGTTGGTTTTATTTCATATTTTGTTCACTTTTCAAACTTACAATACAGCATGAACATTTAAACTAAATACATAGATTTTTTTTTCTTAAACGGTGATATGAATCAATGGTTCTGATATGGGTGTACTTGCTGTTTGTAAACGCACACGAACATCATCATCACCATCAATCGCATAACAAAGCATGCTTCGTTCGAAGTATCGTCAATTTCAAAATAGCAGCAAAATATGCACACAAAGGAAACATCCAGTGTGGTTTGTGCATCATTTGCTCTCGACGTGCAAACATTTCAATCGAAAACACATGTAATTTGTGAGGCATAAAGCCGAACAAAATGTGAAATAGTCGAGAGTAAAGCACATGCCATGTAAATGGAATACTTCCAATGTCCCATCCGGTCGTTTCATTTGTTCTTCTTTTTATCTAGTCTAGTGTAAGACAAAGGCCGAATGCCGTGTTTTGTATTTCGATTCTCTAATTTCAATATTCCGAATAGCTATTTCATTAATATCCAATAAATCGGGTTTGAACGATTTAGATTACCCATTCCCAAAATGTCCATCATTCGATATTCAAAATCCGGTGTGTTGTCCTTTTGGATGACATTTCCAATCTGAAATCAAACAAGTACACGTGCACCACATCAAATGATTTATTGAATAGTCAAAGAAAGAGACAGAAAAATAGAAAAAAAAACAACAACCGATCGAATTACAAAGAAAAAACATTGTATTGGAAATTTGAAAAAAAAAACATTTGTGTAAACTGTAAATATTAGGTAAAAAGACTGAACTGACAAAAAAAAATGTTTTAATTTTATTCTGTATTAAGCCACGTGAATAAAACAAATACTGAAGGGAAAAGAAACAGAAAATAATAAGAATGAAAAATCATAAAATACATATATATCTAATAAATAATTCATTAATAAGATACATCTATAGTACATTATATCTATCAATGGAAAAACAATGAATTAATAAAAACGACAAACAAAGATATTTAAAAAAAAAATCGATTATGTGTTTCCTTTTGTCCTAGTTTTATTTTACTCCATTTTGCCCGTAGCATATGCAGGTTGCTGTAACAATGGTTCTGGACAACAGAACGAAATAGACGACGAAAGTAGAAAAAACGACGGTGAGTGTGCTCGTTAAAATGGGATTGGACGGGCGCTTAGTTACCATGGCGATGTTGTTTTTCAGGTGAAAAGTTCGCTTTGATTTTCACTTGATGTGATTCATCTGTGCATTTGAACGACATGATTCGGCTCGAGATAATGCACAAAATTTTCCCGTTCACTCTCTACTTCGCTCATTCATACCAAATGGTTTGTATTAGTTATTCATTCTGTTCACTGATTTCGGTATATAATGGCTCTCGTTAGCCATTTTTGCAGCTGTAGGTCGTTGTGAGTGAATGGACTCATTACAAAAGGTATGTCAGTCGTTTCAACGAATTTGGGATTTTGTGCTGCACAATATGAGTTGTGCAATTTGAAATAGGTCATGGAAGGAGTGAGCACAGTGCAAACACATACACACACCGCGTGTGATGGATTATACACGGAAAATCGATGAACGAATGAAATGACGCCAGCAAATCTACTGTGTTCAGCACCTGGCTGTGAAAAGCATTCGTTTTCAGGTTGTTGTTTATTTCTCTCGAATTCTTCATCGAAATGAAATGTACGCGGCTGAAACGGATTTTAATGAGAAATTAGTGTGCACAGTTGAGCACCTCTTCGACACCCTTTGGCAGTGAAAACCACTTTCTAGCTATCGCTTATATATCAAACTGTTTTTTTTTTCCTTTTGTTTGCCAAAGCGAGCGAAAAACAAACAATGGCTTTCTCACTCACAATTTCGATTAAAACTTGTCGAGATTGTAAAAATGGGATATCATTTGGAAAATGCAAGCGAAATAGCGAACAAAAACAATGTGTCGATGAATTAAATGCAAAATGTGATTGAACATCAACTTGAGTTAACTTTTAATGGTGAGCCATTTTCCTATGCAATGAACATGGAACTATCTGGTTTTATTACAATACGCACATTTCTTTCAATTCAGTGCCGTTGAATCTCTTTTATGGGCTGCGACAATTTAATGTGCATTCGAGAACATAAAACTGCATTCTTTTTTTCTGATGTCTTTTTATTCACAGCTTTGAAGCATTTACTGTTGTGCGAATGTGCTTCAAAATAGGTAAACACAGAATCGCTGTCATTTTTCCGCGTAACCTAATAATAATGATTTATAGGCGACAACCATCAGCTGTATAGATTTTTTGTGACAATCCATTTGCGCTATTTTCAACGGGGATAATTTACTATTTGTATGCACATTAAAAACTCATAATTTATACGCGCAACGAACTCACCGCATCCCATTGCTACACGTTCTTCATAGTCTTAATGGAACGCAGCGCGGAGAAAGAAACAAACGACCATAAAGAGAGTGCAATAGAATGAAAAAAAAAAACACACTGAACCATATTTGGTTCACAATTACAACTATGACCAATAAAGTACGTACCCTCATTTTCGCAACAATTTTCATTCAGCTCTCTCAATTATTATTAATTTATTAATAGTTGAAACACATTTTCGATACAATGGCGATAAATGAATGAATGTGTACCGTGTTGTTCTTGTGCC